TTTATGACTTTTCAGAACCTTTAATATGCTAAGGTGCACTGTGAAACTGGGAAGGGAAATGGGGATGTAAGTCTCTCAAACAGAGCCCATTAGGAAGCCCTGGCCCTGCCCACAGGGTGGTGAGTGGCTGTGAGCTCCATGTGTTGGAAGGCTTTGAAGGTCCAGTTCTTATGCGGGAACCCTACACAGCCCGAACTTAGATATAGGGCCACTATGTCTACTCTGAGAGGGTGAAGTGGACAAAGAATATCCTCAGAAATGCTTCCCACTTAACTCCATTTCCTCCCTATGGCAGGTTTCTTCTGAAACTACTGTTTGGCTGGTTGGTAAAGAATATGTCACCCACACAACTGTATCCACGTCACCTAACAAGGAAGATGGCCTGGTTAGACAGTTCTGGGGAGTAGACCAAAAACCACACTGAAAGACAGTGCTTGACTTAAGACAGGGTCTAGATGGTGCCAGTGGAGACTCACCAGCCATGCCACTGGAAAGGGGTCAACAATGGGTTCTCCTTGTCGAACGAGGGATCTTTCCACATAGCTCTGTAATGCCTAGTCCTGGGTTCCATTTAACTGTGAATGCTTACTCAACATAGTTAAAGTAATTGATGCAAGGGGACAGGGTGGAGGCAGAGGATGGTAAGACTTGATCCATGCCATATTTCTTAGAGACTTCTCTTACCCCCCTTTCTAATGTTACTAGGCTCTCTAGACAAAGCCATAGGCATGGTATTCACATTGTGATCATAATGACATGACTTTCATGGCAAACACACTACAAACAAAAACAGCTACCCCCCGGCACAGAAAGGTCAAGAACAAGAAGCCCAAGTGATGAAGAAGATAAAACTAAGGCATTGTGGAGTGCTGGGTCAGGGTATGATTTCAGAGAACTGGGTCAGGCCAGGGCACTTGGTGAGGGAAGCAGGGTGATCCTCATCTGTTTTGCCCTGAGCTATTTATCTATTGTAGAGTTTCATTCAAAGCGCTGAAGAAAAAATACTAGCGAAATAATACAAGGAAACAAAACACATAATTCAAAAGTATTTAACTTTACATTTAGACGTAAATATTTTTAAATTTTTTTTTTTTTTCCTCACCCCTCAAAACCTAATATAAAACTTAGGGTTTGAGGTTGGATGAGAGTGAGATAGAGATTTGATAGAGCAGGGTGAGGTCACATGCAACCCCTCTGTAAATGAGGTAAGGTATTTAAAGCACCAGGTACAGTGTGACCCAGGGCCTTTGACTGGATTTGGCCAACACAACAGTACACCATCAGAACAGGAACTTCTAATAGTTCAGCTTCAGCCAGTATCTGCAGTCTCTAGTATTTATCTAGAGCACCTCCTGTTTGCTGTTCTGAGCTGCTGATCCTTGTTCTCATCTGGCTGTCAAATCCCTTTGGACCTCTAGGTCAAAATTTGGTACCCCCACCTTCACCCTACCAGGCAAAAAGGTCCTGCCCCCTAGCCTTCTCCCGTGATGTTCAGACATAGAAAGCAGAACCAGCCCTAAATCCAACATCCCCAGGTGAAGCAGATATCCTTATTTTTATAATGTTGACTCCTGAAAGACCAACTGTAAATCAGCCTGGACTTACAGACCTAAATCTAAAAATGTACTGAGCTCCTATTGTCATTATTAGCTGCTGTTGAGTAGGCCCTGGGCTCACAGCCACCTCATGCACAATGGAACAAAATGCTGCCTAGTCTTGTGCCATCCCCATGATGGGTTGCGGATCAGATCATTGCGATCCATAGGGTTTTCATTAGCTGATTTTCAGAAGCAGATCACCAGGAGTTTCCACCTAGTCCATCTTTGTCTGGAAGATCTGCTGAACCTGTTCAGCATCACAGCAACACGCAAGCCTCCACCAACAGACGGGTGGCAGTTGTGCATGACGTGCATTGGCCAGGACTCAAACCCAGGTCTCCTACATGGAAGGTGAGAATTCTACCACTGAACCACCACTGCCCTCATGGAGCTCCTGCAGGATTTCATAAATAGTATTTTTGATGCTATGACTGATGATGCACCCCAAAGAGAAGAACTGGATTAAAGATAGAAAGTATCCCTAAGAGGCCAGCCATGGTGGGGATGGTCCCATCTACACTTATCAGGAGGGAACAGTACCTGAAGAAGTAGAAGGTCAGTGAAAAAAGAGGAAGACCCTCAACAAGATGGATTGATACAGTGGCTGCAAAAATGGGCTCAAACGTAGCAACAATTGTGAGGATGGCACAGGACCGGCCAGTGTTTTCTTTCTGTTGTATATAGAGTTGCTATGAGTCAGAACCAACTTGACGGCACCTAACAACACACGTACAGAGAAAGGCCACTCCTGAGGGAGAGAGGCACAAGGGGCCTGCTGGGGAGCTACAGTTCCAGAACCCTGGCAACCCTCACTTCCAGCCTGAGAACCTTCCTAGAAACTACAACAGTAAGTCATAGAAAGGATGTGGAGTTTTGGATCAAACAATCCTGGTTTGAATCCCACCTCCACCACTTTCTGCCATGTACTTAATAATCTTGCCGAACCTGTTCTCCTCATCCAAAAAAAAAGGAGTAATAATATAACCTCACAGAGTTGCTGTGTGAATTACATGAAATAATGTATGTGAAATGTGCTCTGCAGCAAGTGGTTTTCAAACTATAGACCATGAGGCACACATATACACTGTAAAAAAATTTTTTTTTAAATAAGCCAGTATACACATACAAATCTACACAACTGAAACAAAGGTTATATAAAAAACAATATTTACCTTATTAAGTCACTTGGTATTTTCTACTGTATTCTATTTAATTATTTTAAATGCTGGCTGCAATTCGCTACACTCTTTTCAGGACCCATAATGCATAGCTAAGGAGCCCTGGTGGCGCAGTGGTTAAGCTCTTAGCTGCTAACCAAAAGGTCAGTGTTTTGAACCCAACAGCCCCTCCACAGGAGAAAGACGTGGCAGTCTGCTTCCATAAGATTACAGCCTTGGAAACCCTATGGGGCAGTTCTACTCTGTTCTGTAGGGTCACTATGAGTCGAAATCTAGTTGACAGCAATGGATTTTTTGTTTTAATGGGTAGCTTGGTCCCCAGGTGGTGCAATTTGCTCTGGACTATAACCTAAAGGTTGGCTATTCAAACCCACCCTGTGGCACTGCAAAAGAAAGGCCTGGTGATCCACTTTTTTAAAAATATTTTATTTTTGGTGAAAATGTACATAGCAAAACATGCACTCATTCTATAATTCCCACAGGAACAGCTGAGTGACACTGGTTACATTCTTCACTTTACGTCAACAATCGTGCTATTTCTACTCAAATTGTTTCACCATCTTTAACTTAGACTCGCTGCTCCCCTAGTCTTCTCATCTATACTTTAGATCTACTGTTGTCAGTGTGGTCTCATATGTGTAAATCTTTTTTTGTTGTTGTTGTTGAGAACATACACAGCAAAACATACACCAACTCAACAGTTTCTCCATGTACCAATTAGTGACACTGATTCCATTCTTTGAATTGTGCAACCATTCTCATCCTCCTTTTCCGAGTTGTTCCTCCCCCATTAACTCCCTGCCCTGTAAGGTTCTTATCTTTTGAGTTGCTGTTGTCATTTTGATCCTGTACAGATAGTTCTTAAAAGAGCATAATGCTCAAGGCAGACCTTTTTTACTAACTGAGCTAAACTATTGTTTAGCTTTAAGAAGACTTCAGGGAATATTTTTGATTTAAGTTTTAAAGATGATCTTGGGGCAATAGTTTCAGGGGTTCAGCCAACCTTCACGGCTCTAGGAAGTCTGGAGTCGATGAGAATTTGAAATTTTCCTCTGCATTTTCCCCTTTTTGATCAAGGTTCCTCTATAGAATCTTTGGTGATCCTCTTTTTTAAAGATTGTTGTTCTGGACTAAACCAAAAGCTAAGAAGTCTCCTGAATACAACTAAACACTTCGAGGGACACAGTAGCAGGCGCGGTGGTCTGGGGACCATGCTTTTAGGGGACATCTAGGTCAACTGGCGTAACAAAGTTTATTAAGAAAATGTTCTGCATCCACTGTGGTGAGTGGTGTCTGGGGTCTTAAAAGCTAGTGAGCGGCCATCTAAGATGCATCAAGTGGGCCCAACGCACCTGGAGTAAAGGAGCATGAAGAACACCAAAGACAAAAGGAAAATATTAGCCCAAGAGACAGAAAGGGCCACATAAACCAGAGACTCCATCAGCCTGAGACCAGGACTACATGGTGCCCGTCTACCACCAATGACCACCCTGATAGGGAACACAACAGAAAGTCCCTGACAGAGCAGGATAAAAGTGGGGTGCAGAACTCAAATTCTAGTAAAAAGACCAGATTTAATGGTTTGAGACTGGAGGGACCCCAGAAGACATGGCCCCCCGACTCTGTTAGCCCAAAACTAAAACTATTCCTGAGGCCAACTCTTTAGACAAAGATTAGATTGGACTATGGGACATAAAATGATACTCCCGAGGAGTGTGCTTCTTAGCTCAAGTTGATACATGAAACTAAATGGGCAGCTCCTGTCCGGAGGCGAGATGACAAGGCATAGACGGTCAGGAGATGTTGAATGGACATGGGAAATCCCGCATGGAAAGGAGTGTGCTGTCACAATATAGGGAGAGCAACCAGGGTCACATAACAATGTGTGCATAAATTTTTGTATGAGAAACTAACTTGAATTGTGAACTTTCACTTAAAGCACAATTTTTTTAAAAAAAAGATTGTTATTGTTCCTCGCCTTGGAGTTGATTCTGACTCATGACAACCCCACGTGTGAAGAGTAGTACTACTCCATAGGGTTTTCAAGTCTGTGATCTTTCCAAAGCAGATTACTAGGCCTTGTTTCCAAATAAACATTACAGCCAAGAAAACCCTATGGAACTGTTCTATTCTGTAACACATGGGGTCCCCATGAGTCAGACTCCACAGCAATGGGTTTGGTTTTTTTATTTTAATGAGTAGCTACAAAGTTTCAAAAAATATTGTTGGAAACCATATAATTGTCAGTTCATTACGATTATTAATATGATTCTTCAGAGACGGTCTAATGGCTGGGAGTCTTTATTGACAGGGCCACCAAGGAAGAGGTGCAAGTTATTAGCACTAGCCCTTAGAGAGTCCTGCTGCCAAGGGAAAAGATCAGTCACATCACGGTTGGTCTACCCAAGAGCGCTAGCCCTCTGGAAAAAAGAAGAGGCCCATTCCCCTATCACTCACACCAGCAGCTGCGGTAAGCCCGCCTCCAGGCCCAGAGAGCTCGGAAGACCCGCCTCCTCACGATTAAACGAAGAAGGCAGGAATTGGAGGCTAAGTCGGTGACGTAACCTTCCGACTTAGGTGGCCTTCCGCTCCGGCGCCTGTCAGGAGTGGGTTAGGGGGACATTTAGCGGGGCTCCCCAGTCCCTCGGCTCTTGGAAGTGCGATGAGGTCGGTTAGCTATGTGCAACGCGTGGCCTTGGAGTTCAGCGGGAGCCTCTTCCCTCACGCAATCTGCCTCGGAGACATCGATAACGATACAGTAAGTGCATGCGCATTGCAAGAGACGCGGCTTGGATCTGCGCCGGGGAGGGGCGAGGAAAGGGAAGTGGAAGCGGCTGCCGGGGGTGGGGTGGGGTGTCACGTGATCAGCGAGCATGCGCGTTGGGTCTAGCATGCTGTGCTAAAGAAGAAAAACTTTATTGATAGTTTAAGTGCCTGGATATCGTCACCGAATTACTTGGCCTGGTACCATGAGAGTATTGTTTTAGGGGAATCGGTAGTTGATCCTCTGCCTAATTCAGTAATTTGTTCAGAGTAAGAACTTAGTAAACTCCGGTGGCCAAGTTTCGTGGATGGTTGCTTCTACAGTTAAGCCCGCAGTGACATCACCACTCAAATACCACTTTGCCTTTCCGAGCCTCAAACATTTTTCAACCGTAAATTGGAAGTAATAATACCACTCTGCTCTCTTGACCCTCCTCCTCCTTCGGTGCTTCACATAGGCTTAAAACCCATCTCTGCTGCTATTACAGTTGGCACATAGCGCTGCGGTAGATCAGTGTACTTCTCTGCCTCGCCTCCCACCTGGTCGACTCTAAGCTTCTCCGGCAGGGGCATCAGTTGACCCTGTCACTCCCGTCTTAATAATGTTGGGTTTCTGCAGTGCCTGCTCCCTAGTTGACGCAGGTGTTTGGCAACTTTAAAGCGCCACACATTGGTTGAATTACAAGAACAATCTCCATTTACCTTTTCCTCCTCTTGCAGTCGTTCCTTTTTTCGTTGTTTAAATTAGTTAATATGGGTAAAGCATGTAGAACAACGGCTGGCATACAGCTAACGCTCAGTGTTAGCTGTGTTATTATTTGGTTCTATTTTTCTGCAAATATTGATTTAACTGTCTATTATGGTCCAAGGAACGCCGGGGCACAGTGGTTAAGCGCTCGGCTGATAACTGGAAGGTCGGTGGTTCCAACCTACCAGCCGCTCTGTGGGAAAAAGATGTGATAGTATGTTTCCCTAAAGATTTACAGCCTTGGAAACCCTATGGGGTGGTTCTACCCTGTCCTATAGGGTCATATGAGTGGAGATCGACAAGACAGCAATAAGTTTTTTATCATGCTCCGAGGACTCTGCTACGTTCTGGGAATTCAAAGATGAACAAGACTGCCCCTGCCCTCAGGAATCTTATAATCTAGCTGGGTAATAGTCACAAAAATAACAGACTGTAATGAGATGCATTGATTACAATATGTAAAGAGTACTGGGGGTGGAGCATCAAACAGGGCCCTTGATGGAGTTTGAAGCCCTTTTTTCCCAGACTTTCTCTTTTGAATCATTATCTCTGACAAGTTCATATTTTTAATGCAAAACATGTTACTCCCCTCCACTCCTACCCTCTACCCTATCTCCTTACTCTGCTTCCCTTATTTTTTTCGTTTTTCTCTTCCCCTATTTATTTATTATTTAAACTTCTGTTATTATGGACTCATGGATTATTTGTTTGAGTCATCATTTTTATTTCATTCAATGGCTTATAAAACATTATGATCATTTAGTTTGTGCTCATATTGTCCCATATTTGATTAGTGGGAGTTCCTTCAAACTGGTTCCTGTATGTCTTTCTCTCTCTTTTTTTTTTTTTTTTGGTTGTTTTTATTGTGATAAAAAGATGTTTTTGCCAATTCAACATTTTTAAGTGTACCCCGTGTCCTTATGATATATCCCTGTTATTCTTTGGCATTTCTTTGCTTTCTGACACAACACGATGGTCCAGGCTCATATTTATTGTTCTTTCTGTGCCTCACCCTTGAGAACAGGGACGAATTACCCAATAAGCAAGGTAAGCACGTGCTTAGGGCATCAACAAAACAGGGCACCAGTTGTCTAAAGCAAAGACCCATAGATGCCAGGCAGACAGGACACAAGGAAAAGTGAGCGCCGCAGTGGAAGGGAACTGGCAGGACACTAAATGAAATGGATACCAGCTCCAGCGCGTGAGAATGTGCTGGCCGGAAATAAAGTTCCCACAGGGACGCAAGGGCACCTACTCGCAAGGTTGTTTAAGCTGTGAGACCCCTATCACTTCAACACCTTCACTGACATCTGTCTCCTACGTTCTCCTCCTGTGTTTGTTAACATCTGTCTCCTACGGTCTCCTCCATGTAATTGAAACTCTTTATCTTGTGCATCTCTTGGGAATATACTATTTCTTTCTCATTAACAAGAGGTAGGGGTGGGCTGTCTAGTCTAACTCTTGCTGCATTCACCTAATATGCACCTGGATCCAGCATGAACAGTTACTGGGCAAGGATGGATTACATTAATAGATAACAGGTCTCTGATCCATTTTGAGAGAACATCTTGTACATCCACATCTGCTGATTCAGCAACTCCAGCCAGGAGGGCCAGCAATGCTCTTTGCCATGATACAAACACAAGGGTATGCTCTTGTGCACATCCTGGTAAACAACCAATGGGAACTCCAGATGACGCACAAAAGTGAGGGAACTCGAATAAATTGACCATTGCAATGAATTCAATCAAGTTACTTTTTAACTGCTGTATAGCATTTACGTATAGAGTTGTGTCCTAAGTAAAAATCTTAGTACCCCGGATCCACTAAAAATTTTATGATGCAGTTCATCTCATTCCACTAAAATGGCATATGACACTTTTGCATTCAATCACTAATATTATAGTTGCATTTAAAAAGAAATTACATCATGGATAGCTAAGACACACACACATATATACGTATATATATACAACACACATATCCTGTTCGAATGCATGAGTGAGCAGAGGAGGGGTCACCACAGATTATCATTGTTTAGGGCCTCATATGCCTTAGTCTGGCCCTGGCTGAGAGCAATCTTTTCTCCAAAGATCCCTGGTTCCTTTTAGTGGAAATGGAATAATAAACCAAGATCTTGATACCTGTCATGGATTGAATTATGTCCCCCAAAAAAATGTGTGGATCATTTTGGCTGGGCCATGATTCCTGGTATTGTATGATTTTCCTATATGTTGTAAATCCTGCCTCTATGATGTTATTGAGGGAAGATGGGTGGTAGTTGTGTTAGTAAGGCAGGACTCAGTCTACAAGATTGGATTGTGTCCTGAGGCAATCTCTTCAGATATAAAAGAGAGAAGTGAGCAGAGAGACGGGGGGCCTCATACCACCAAGAAAGCAGTGCCAGGAGCAGAGCGTGTCCTTTGGACCTGGGGTCCCTGCACGGAGAAGCTCCTAGTTCAGGGGAACATTGATGAGAAGGCCGACAGAGAGAGAAAGCCTTTCCCTGGAGCTGACGCCCTGAATTTGGATTTTTAGCCTACTTTACTGTGAAGAAATAAACTTCTCTTTGTTAAAACCACCCACTTATGGTATTTCTGTTATAGCGGCACTAGATGACTAAGACAGTACCAGATATGCTGGTTGTTACTAGTGTGTCACTGCTTCTAGGGCCTCCCAGTGGACAGAGGTATCAGATATGCACACACATACACATACTCTTAAATCTTATCCTTCATCTGTCTATAAAACCAAAAACCAAATCTGTTGCTGTTGAGTCAGTTCCGACTCATAGTGACCCTATAGGACAGAGTAGAACTGCCCCATAGAGTTTCCAAGGAGCTGCCGTCGCTCTTAACCATTGTGCCGCCTAAAAACATAACCTCCTGAAGATACCTCCAAGGTACATGCTAGGTAACTCCTCCTCCCCCTTTATAAAAAATTTTACTTATTTTGTTGTTGTTAAGTCTGCTTCCCTGCTTCTCATCCCCACCTCCCCAACTGTTCTGTGTTCTCTTTTTCCCCAGAAGACAAGGACTAAAGTATCCTTATTTTCCCTCCCTGGTTCTGTGATGGAAAAGGTATCTTATGAGGCCTGTTTTGGCTCTGCCTTCTCTAGGGAGGAAAAAGTTATTCTCATAAATTTTCATCATGTTTTATGGGCTTTCACATCTCTTTATAGTCCAAGCAGTACAATTTTATGAGAAAATCAAGGAAGGCATTTTACTTTTTAAGTAGTAAATTAACAAAGTGACTTTAGATGTGCAATATTTTCCATTGTATCCGATTGCCTTCTTTAGTTAAAAGGGAAAAATACATAGTACGTGTTTTTTCATAACTTCATAGTACCAGCTTTTTTTGAAATTGTACTTCTCTAAGTGAATGGCTCTGTTACACGCCCAGTTCTGCAGTAATGATGTATTTTTTCACCATTATTGTAAGCTCCATAAATCTGTTGCCGTCAAGTTGATTCTGACCCATAGCGACCCTGTAGGACAGAACTGTCCCATAGGGTTTCCAAGGAGCAGCTGGTGGATTCAAACTGCCAACCTTTTGGTTAGCAGCCTTACATTTAACCACTGCACCACCAGGGCTCCTTAGCTCCATAAGGACAGAAATTTTTATCTGTTTTTCACTGCTATATCGCCAACCCCTAGAACAGTGCCTGGCACTCAGTAAATGTTTATTGAGTAAATGAATATTGTTATGAAAAGTAAATGCAATTATGTGTTTCAAAGCAATTTGAAGGTTTTTGCATGTAATTAGTAAATATAAGAAGGACATGTAGCTGAGAGAGTTGGTCAGTGTTCAGATATGGTACCCTCAGCTTCCATGAGTGTGGATAGAAATTTTGTTAGTGGTTCCAAGGCCAATACTTAGAGATTTGGGGGTGGGAAAAAGACTGATTTCAGCCTAATAAACCCTTCACCTAAAGTTCTTTGGAACAGATTTCTTTCTGGCTAAGTCAGAGGGAGAAGCCAGGAATAGAATCCACATGCTCTCGGACTGCCCTCTGAAGCCTGGCTGCATCCTCGAGAGAAAGCCTTTAGAAGGCTGAAGCAGATCACAGGAAGATCTCACCTCCTTTCTCCTTTAGCCTTTCTGAGCTTATGGTGTACTCTCCAGCTGGGGTTCTTTAGTGTCACTGAGTGACCTCCAGAGGCCAGAGGCAGGATGGACCACAAAGAAGCAGAACGGCTGGAAAGAATTAGAGCTGCTGGAAAGCAGATGGGCTGCCCTGGACGTGTCCTCTTCTAGGATGTCTTCTGTGGCCTCACTCCCTGCCTGGCTGGGTTGCATCTCCTTGCTCACTGTACTTACCACACTGCTTTATGATTTTATTCCTATATCTGTGCCCTGTTAAACTGTGAGTTCCTTCTCAGAAGGGAGTCTGTGCATTTATCTTTGCATCTCCAACTGATTGTTCAGCTTTACCTGAAAACTGCAGGGCTGGCTGGACATTTTTTGCCTGTTGTTCTGATTTTTCTTTGCTTAAAAAAAAGTCTTTTGCTATTTGTTCATTAAGTAAACATTGATGAGGTCCTACTATGTGCTATGGCATTTGTTGAATGAATGAATAAAAAATAAGGGATGATATGAAAGATGCTAAGTCCCCTAGTCTTGGAGGCATTTAACTAGAGGCTGAAAAACCACCTCATATTAGTACTTACAGTGGTGCCCTGGGGGTGCAGTGGTTAAGAGCTATGGCAAGCTGTGGCTACTAACCAAAAGGTTGGCAGTATGAATTCACCAGTCGCTCCTTGGAAATCCTATGGGGCAGTTCTACTCTGTCCTATAGAGTCGCTATGAGTCAGAATCGACTCCACGGCAACGGATTTGTTATTTTGTTTTGTTTTTTATTAGCACTTACTATATGTGTCAGTTGTAGTCCCTGTGATGCAGGCACGCTCTGCTGCTAACTGCAAGTTTGGAGGTTCTAGTTCACCCAGGGGCACCTCAGAAGAAAAGCCTACCAGTCTACTTCCAAAAAAATCACCCATTGAAAACCCTGTGGGGCACAGTTCTGCTCTGACATACCTGGGGTCACCATGAGTGGGAATCGACAACAACTGGTTTATATGCCAATCACTGTTCTAAATAATTTCCTCTATTAACACAATTCTCACAACAACCTTATAAGGTTGTTGTTGTTAGGTGCCGTTGAATCGGTTCTGACTCATAACGACCCTATGTACTACAGAATGAAACACTGCCCGGTCCTGTGCCATGCCCACAGTCATTGTTATACTTGAGCCCATTGTTGCAGCCACCATATCAATCCATCTCATTGAGGGTCTTCTTCTTTTTTGCTTACCCTGTACCCTACCAAGCATGATGTCCTTCTCTAGGGACTGATTCCTCCTGACAACATGCCCAAAGTATGTAAGGCGTAGTCTCGCCATCCTTGCTTCTAAGGAGCATTCTGGATGTACTTGTTCCAAGACAGATTTGTTCATTCTTTTGGCAGTCCATGGTATATTCAGTATTCTTCCCTAACACCACAATTCAAAGGTGTCAGTTCTTCTTCAGTCTTCCTTATTCATTGTCCAGCTTTCGCATGCATATGATGCGATTGTAAATACCATGGCTTGGGTCAGGCGCACCTTAGTCTTCAAGGTGACATCTTTGGTTTTGAGCACTTTAAAGAGGTCTTTTGCAGCAGATTTGCCCAATGTAATGTGTCTTTTGATTTCTCGACTGCTGCTTCCGTGGGCGTTGATTGTTGATCCAAGTAAAATGAAATCCTTGACAACTTCAGTATTTTCTCCGCTTATCATATTATTTATTGGTCCAGTTGTGAGGATTTTTGCTTTCTTTATGTCGAGGTGTAATCCATACTGAAGGCTGTGGTCTTTGGTCTTCATCAGTAAGTGCTTCAAGTCCTCTTCACTTTCAGCAAGCAAGGTTGTGTCATCTGCATATTGCAGGTTGTTAATGAGTCTTCCTCCAAACCTGATGCCCTGTTCTTCTTCGTATAGCCCAGCTTCTCGGATTATTGCTCAGCATACAGATTGAATAGGTATGGTGAAAGGATACAATCCTGATGCACACCTTTCCTGACTTTAAACCACAACTGCTTCTTGATCTATATACAGGTTCCTCATGAGCACAATTAAGTGTTCTGGAATTCCCATTCTTCTCAATGTTATCCGTAATTTGTTATGATCCACACAGTCAAATCCTTTACATAGTCAATGAAACACAGGTAAACATCTTTCTGGTATTCTCTGCTTTCAGCCATGATCCATCTAATATCAGCAACGATATCCCTGGTTCCACGTCCTCTCCTGAATCCGGCCTGAATTTCTAGCAGTTTTCTGTCGATGTACTGCTGCAGCCACTTTTGAATGATCTTCAGGAAAATTTTACTTGTGTGTGATATTAATGATATTGTTTGATAATTTTTGCATTCAGTTGGATCACCTTTCTTGGGAATGGGCATAAATATGGATCTCTTCCAGTCAGATGGCCAGGTAGCTGTCTTCCAAATTTCTTGGCGTAGATGAGTGAGCATTTCCAGCACTGCATTAGTTTGTTGAAACATCTCAATTGATATTCCGTCAATTCCTGGAGCCTTGTTTTTCACCAGTGCCTTCAGTGCAGCTTGGACTTCTTCCTTCAGTACCATCGGTTCCTGATCACATGCTACCTCCTGAAATGATTGAACATCGACTGGTTTTTTTTGGTATAATGACTCTCTGTATTCCATCCATCGTCTTTTGATGCTTCCTGTGTCGTTTAATATTTTCCCCATAGAATCCTTCACTGTTGCAACTCGAGGCTTGAATTTTTTCTTCACTTCTTTCGGCTTGAGAAATGTTGAACATGTTCTTCCCTTTTGATTTTCTCTCTCCATATATATAAGGTAGATACTTTTATTATCCTTGTTTTATAGATGAAAAAGTATAGATAAAATAACATGATTCAAATCTAGACGGTTGCACCCTGAACCCCTATGCTATGCAGCCTGTCTCCTGTGTGTCTGTGGAAGACCAGGCAGCTGTAATTGAAGCATCAGGTATAGAGAGTTTGATATAAGTGACCCAGTTTTATGCTTCTGTGAATTAATTGTCCCACCAGAAACTTCCATAACTATTTAAAAACAAATCCAAGGTTCATATAAAGTAAACCATGATTAATAAATCCCAATTCATTTCTAACTTTTCTTTACTGTTGATCTGTTAGCTCTTTGTTGCCTTTAGAATGAAATCTCTCGAGAATCTTAGTTCACCGTATTTTAGGGACAGGAAGGGAGTGTTGAATATACCCCCAAGGGAACATTATGAAGCTGTTTGTGGAAATAGGATTTGAAGCTTCTTTGTTATCAACTCTGTGCCCTGGTGGTACAGTGGTTAAGCATTCGGCCGCTAACCAAAAGGTCAGCAGTTCAAATCCACCAGCCGCTCCTTGGAAACCCTATGGGGCAGTTCTACTCTGTCCTACAGGATCACTATGAGTCAGAATCAACTCGACAGCGACGGGTTTGGGTTTTTTTATTTTGTTATCATCGTTAGCCCCTGGGAAGGGTGGCCAGCCGTTTGGGACTCACAGGGAAGTGGAGTACCCAAATGCAGGCAGTGGAGAAGAGACTCCATGCAGGGAGCCTCCACTCCTCAGAGCTTATCCACCACTTGAGGGCACCAGAGGCCCAGAGCATGGGTGCTGCCCCACCCCTTCTTGCTCAGTTCCTGCCTGCGCCCCCACCCCCATATATTCACTCAGACACATGAAAATCAAAAGGTTTTGCTAGTGAAGGGGGGACCCCAAGAGCTGACATTGTCTTTTTATTTGGCCCCTGATTAACTAATGAGGTCTGAAGTTAGAGTCTCCAGAAGTCTTTGAGCTGCTATGCAGCATGTCACGTTTGTAACGAACAAAGTAGAAGAGCCGGAAGTCAAGTCTGTGGGGCACTGAGCTGTTCTTGGATGGATCATGGACTCTGTAGTGCCCCCATTCCTCCTCTCCTGCTCCCAACTCACATACACAGCCCTAACTGGAAATAAAGAAGCTCTGGAAAACTGTGACTATGTTGGTCTCAACTGAGTTTTAATAAAGTTGATGGAGATAAAAATTGAGGTCTTGTGATATCCCTAGGATAGGCCGAGTAGAGAGGAGCTTGGGGTCGTTCAGCAGAATCCCATCCTAACACTTTCTTCTCTCTCCATTTGAAGTTAAATGAACTAGTGGTGGGAGACACCAGTGGGAAGCTGTCCGTGTATAAGAACGATGACAGCCGGCCATGGCTCACCTGTTCCTGCCAGGGAATGGTCAGTATTCAACTCACTGGGTTTTGAGGGGGGAAGAGATCCCTCTGCCCAGGGGCTGTGAGGGAAAGTCCCGCACAGAAGCATACCAGTGTGTCCTAACTCACCAACTGTTCGGCCCAGCCACTGCTTCCAAGATAAATTAATTCAGGGAGGCACACCCCCAGACAGTGAATGCTCTCCAATCTGGTCCCCCTCCTCCACAAGGCTGGGTGGTTTTTTGTTTTCTGTTGTGGAGTGACTACCTTGGTACTTTATGGAAACTACCTAAGGTTACCTGACCTTACAAAGTATAGTAGAAAATGGGGGCAATAGTTTGAATAAGTCTAGAAGTACCATAATCTGGCTGTATTAGATGTAGGGTTTTTGTTTTGTTTTGTTTTAAGGCAAATTGTCTTAACTACCTCAGGTCTAGTTAAATGGAACCATAACACACTGGCTTGATTACTGCAGACTATCAATGTAGATCAAATGGCACAAGTTTTCAGGGGATGGTGATGATTAGGCAACCCCTTCCTTCTTGCCTCACAGAGATCAGGGAGTACTGGTCTTCCTCAGGGTACCTCCCTGAGCCTCTCCTGCTTCTCTTGCAGCTGACTTGCGTTGGTGTTGGAGATGTATGTAATAAAGGAAAGGTAAGAACTCTAGGGAACCGGATATGGAATGTATGGCTGATTGCCTTCATGAACAACTGCCTCCTTTGCCATGAGACCAGAAGAACTGAAAGGTGCCTGGCTACCATTACTGAACATTTTGACCAAAGGTTCCATAGAAGAATCCTGATCAAAAGAGGAAAAATGCAGAACAGGATTTCAAATTCTAATGGACTCTAGACTTTCTGGGGCAATGGAGGCTAGATGAGCCCCTGAAACTATTGCCCTGAGATCATCTTTAAACCTTAAACCAAAAATATCCCCTGAAGTCATCTTAAAACCGAGCAATAGTTTAGCTTAATTAGTAAAAAAAATGTCTGCCTTGAGCACTATGCTTGTTTAAAAACTATCTATGTGGGATCAAATTGACAACAGCAACTTGAAAGATTAGATAGGAACCTTAGATGGGGCAGTGAGTTTATGTTAATGGGGGAGGAACAGCTCGGAAAAGGAGGGTGAGAACGGTTGCACATCTCAAAGAATGTAGTCAGTGTCACTAAATTGTACATGTAGAAACGGTTGAATTGGTGTATGTTTTGCTGTGTATATTCTCAACAACAACAAAATAAATTTAAAAAACATAGAAGGCGCACATTATGTGCGTAAAAATGCGGTACCCCACTCCCCACCTCCAGCTCCATCAGTTACCTCCCAGTCTGTCACCCTCCCTTCACAACAAAACTCTTAAACAAATTGTTTACATTTGTGGTCACCTTTCAAAAAAAGAACTCTAGGGAAACTTGGAACTTTGGTAGCACTCCAAGGCCTTGTCTTGATCCCCGTCTCAAGGGGGAAATCAATCGAGAGTTAAAGACTTCAGCTCTAACCTCTGTGACTTAACTATAAGGCTTGAACCCAAACTTTCTGCCATTCTATCTCTCCTATACGTCTCTATCGCTCAGAACCTGGTGGTGGCAGTGAGTGCTGAAGGCTGGTTTCACTTGTTTGACCTGACACCTGCCAAGGCCCTGGATGCTTCTGGGCACCACGAGACACTAATGGGAGAGGAGCAGCGTCCAGTCTTCAAGCAGCACATTCCGGCCAACACCAAGGTCATGCTGATCAACGACATCGGTGGGCATGACTGCCTTTGTAGGCAGTTGGGGCCATAGGAGTCAATGGGTAAAAGAGCAGATCTCAAGGGATTGAGGGGGGAAGGTCAGTATTCATTTATGCCTTTGTTTCGTATTTAATGTGGAGTTGTACTAAACTCCTATGGTGAGCCAGGCATTGTTCTAAGCACTGGGATTACAATAGTGAATAAAACAGATCAAATTGCTATCCTCTTGGAGCTTGTTAGGAAGAGACAGAAAAGAAAATAAGTTTTGTAAAAATATTAAATAGTATATGAGAAGGCAGTAAGTGCTATAGAGAAAAGTAAAACAGAAGGGGCTAGAGAGTGTTGAGGTAGAGGTAGGGGTAGCAATTTTAAAAGGAGTTGTCGGGGGAGTCCTCACTGAGAAGGTGACATTTGATCGAAAATGGAAGGAGGTAAAGGGAGCAAGCCATACAGATATGAAACTGATATTTAGGCCAGCTGCTGTCTCAGAGGTGGTGGGTGGTAGGTATATGGAATGATTCAGGATACTTGAGTTGTGTATCTGAGAGGAGTACTAGGGAAGAAGTGATAAGACCTGCAGAAACAGGGTAGAGTGTTGTAAGTACAAGGAAGGGCAGGGAAGCAGGTACCAGACTCAAATTGTGTGAGGTAGATAGCACAACAGACTGGGCATGAAGCTACACTGGACAGAAAGTGCCAATGATGGTGATGTTAGCAGAGTAGTGGAGGGTGCTTATAAGATTCAAACTGATGGATACAGATTTGCTCCCAAACAATCTTGTTTTCTCCACCCACAGATGGAGATGGGTGTTGCGAGCTGGTGATAGGTTACACAGACCGTGTTGTGCGGGCTTTCCGTTGGGAAGATCTGAGTGAGGGCACTGAACATCTGACGGGGCAGCTGGTATTCCTCAAGAAATGGATGCTGGAGGGTCAGGTGAGAGGCTGAGCTTGGGGACTGAGGAACCCAGGGCATGGGGAGGAAGGACTTCCAGAGGAGGCTTGTGGGAGAGCAGGCATGGGACAGGGCACAGTGGGGAAAAAGGGAAAATTACCTTGTTGAGAAAGATCCAGAAAGGATACTTTTCATTCAGGGTCTTAGGACAAATTCTAGTAATAGGCAAAGAGGAAGGAACACTGGGCTAAGAATTAGGAGTGTGTGGTGGGTGGGATATGGACTGTATCAGGACATGGACCTCATTTGGGGCATGCACAGATGGCTGTGTGGAGAGGAGGGCACCAGACAGGAACCCTATGAATTCCAGAATTCTTCCTCCTGCTGCTGCCCTTGAAGCCTGGAGTACTATTTCCAGTGCTCCTCCCCATCTACAGGGCCCCACTTCCTGCTCTCTATCCTGCCTTACGCCCCTTTTGCCTGGTGCAGCTGGACAGTCTCTCAGTGACTCCAGGGCCCCTGGGTGTTCCTGAACTGATGGTATCTCAGCCAGGCTGTGCTTATGCAATTCTACTGTGTACCTGGAACAAGGACACTGGGTCCCCCCCTGCCTCTGAAGGGGCTACAGAGGGCAACAGGTAAGAGGGTACAGGCTGTGATCGTGTGGGGTACATGGAAGCTCTGGGATGGCACATGGTAGTGAGATGGGCTTGCAGTAAACAGAGCTTCTTCATCTAGTTCTCAGCCCAAGTACTTCTGTCCCATTAAGGACCCAGGGAATCCTGGGCTTTAACCTTATGGCACCTGGAAGAAAGTCAAAGATCCCAACCTGACAGCTCCGTCAGTCTTTTTCCATTTGCTATGTGGGTCAGATGGGATTAGCAATAGGTTTCCAAGCTAATTTATATCTCAGAAGCCCTTACAGGGATAGGGAGCCACTGAGGTCCTAGAGAACTAAGCTCCCTTGGTCTCCCACTTAGCCCATCCCCTCCTGTCCACAGGGAGCCCCCTGCTACCCGAGATGTAGTGCTGCACCAGACGTCTGGCCGCATCCACAACAAGAATGTCTCCACTCACCTCATTGGCAGCATCAAACAAGGTGAAGGTGGGGTGGGAGCAAGAGACGGCACTGAGGGTCAGAAGTTAGTTCTGGGGTAGAGGACATACAGGGCCTTCCCTTCATGTCTAGTCCTATCCTTCCCTCCCTGCTGCTGGTCACCATTCCACCTCTATGCTCTGATCTTGCTCTGCTCCTTCACGGTTTCTTCTTCTGGTCCTTCTCTCCCGTTCACAGGACACAGCCCTGAGAGTGGTGGCTCTGGCCTCTTTGCCCTCTGCACCCTGGATGGTGAGTTCCCCAGGTCAGCTCTGTGGGACAGTACTGGGGTGGGAGGTTACATGCCTGTGAGATATGGTCAGGGGTTTGGTCCCACACACCCCCTGCCTGCCTCCTCCCCTACAGGGACGCTGAAGCTTATGGAGGAAGCAGACAAGCTGTTGTGGTCGGTGCAGGTGGATCACCAGCTTTTCGCCCTAGAGAAATTAGATGTCACGGTGAGTGGAAAACCTGGTGGAGGGGAGCATTTTTGCCTTCTCCTCATGGAGAGATTAGATTTAAATGAGGCCAGTTTCACATCACAGTTAATTCTCAACTTTTATCTTAAGTCTCTTTATTGTTGTTAATTACTGTTGAGTTGCCTCTAACTCATGGCAACGTTATGCATAACAGAACAAAATATTGCCCATTCCTATGCCATTTTCATGATCTTTGGTATGTTTGAGCCCATTGTTGTGGCTATTTTGTTAATCCATCTCATTGAGGGTTTCCCTCATTTTCACTGACCTTCTACTTTACCAAATATGATAAGTCTCTTTAACCCAAACCCATTGCTGTAGAGTCAATTCTGACTCATAGCGACCCTACAGGACAGAGTAGAGCTGCCCCATAGGGTTTCCAAGGCTGTGATCTTTATGGAAGCAGACTACCACATCTTTCTCCCACATAGCGGCTGATGAGTTTAAACTGCTGACCTTTCAGTTAGCATCCAAGCACTTAACCATTATGCCACCAGGGCTCCTTAAGTCTCTTTAGACAAGTCTAAATCAGTAGATTTGACTCATTGAACACTAATGACCGAAGACCAGACAAGTTGTGGGATGACATCAAGGACATCATACATGAAGAAAGCAAAAGGTCATTGTCTTAGTCATCTAGTGCTGCTCTAACAGAAATACCACAAGTGGATGGCTTTAACAAAGAGAAGTTTATTCTCTCACAGTCCAGTAAGCTACAAGTCCAAATTCAGGGCATCAGCTCCAGGAGAAGTCTTTCTGTCTCTGTCAGCTCTGGAGAAAGGTCCTTGTAATGCATCAGTCTTTCCTTGGTCTGGGAGCTTCTCTGAGCAGGAACCTCAGGTCCAAAGGACGCTCTCTGCTCCCAGCACTGCTTTCTTGGTGGTATGAGGTTCCCATGTGTCTCTGCTTGCTTCTCTCTTTTATATCTCAAAAGAGATTGCGTTAAGGCACTATCTAATCTTGTAAACCTCATCAGTATAACCTCATCACAGTGATAGACTTTACAACACATAAGGAGATCCCATATAACCTTATCGTAGTGATAGAGTTTACAACACATAAGGAGGTCACATCAGATTACACAATCATACAATACTGGGAATCATGACCCAGCCAAGTTGACATATATTTTTGGGGGACACAATTCAATCCATGACAGTCATTAAAAAGACAGGAAAAAAGAAAAGACCACAATGGATGTCAGAAGAGATTTTGAAACTTGCCCTTGAATGTAGAGTAGCTAATGTGAAAGGAAGAAATAATGATGTAAAAGAGCTGAGCAGAAGATTTCAAAGGGTGACTTGAGAAGATAAAGTATTATAATGAAATGTGCAAGACCTGGAGTTAGAAAACCACAAGAGAAGAACACGCCTGGCATTTCTCAAGCTGAAAGAACTGAAGAAACAATTCAGTCCTCGAGTTGCAATATTGAAGGATTCTATGGGCAAAAAATTGAATGATGCAGGAAGCATCAAAAGAAGATGGAAGAAATACACAGAGTCACTGTACCAAAGAGAATTGGTCGACATTCAGCCATTTCAGGAGGTAGCATATGATGAAGAACCGATGCATTGAAGGAAGAATGCTTTGGCAAAAAACAAGGTTCCAGGAATAGATGGAATACCAATTGAGATGTTTCAACAGATGCAATGCTGGATGCGCTCACTCATCTGTGCCAAGAAATTTGGAAGACAGTTACCTGGCCAGCCGACTGGAAGAGATCCATATATACCTATTCCAAAGCAAGGTGATCCAGTGGAATGTGGAAATTATCGAACAATAGCATTAATATCACATGTAAGTAAAATTATGCTGAAAATAATTCAAAAACATTACAGTAGTACAACTGCAGAAATTTAAGCTGGACTCAGAAGAGGACATGGAACGAGGGTTATCATGGCTGATGTCAGGTATATCTTGACTGAAAAGAGAGAATACCAGAAAGATGTTACCTATGTGTTACTGACTATGCAAAGGCATTCTACTGTGTGGATCATAATAAATTATGGATAATATTGCGAAGAATTAGAATTCCAGAAAAATTATGCTTGTGAGGAACCTATACATAGACCAAGAGGCAGTTGTTCCAACCGAAAAAGGGGATAGTGCGTGGTTTAAAATCAGGAAAGGTATGCATGAGGGTTGTGTCCTTTCACCATACTTATTCAATCTGTATGCTGAGCAAATAATCAGAGGAGCTGAACTGTATGAAGAGCATGGCATCAGGATTGGAGGAAGACTCATTAACAACCTGTGATATGCAGATGACACATCGTTGCTTGCTAAAAGTGAAGAGGACTTGATGCATTTAATGATAAAGACCCAAGACTACAGCCTTCAGAATGGATTATACCTCAACATAAAGAAAACGGAAATTCTCGCAACTGGTCCAATAAGCAATATTATGATAAACGGAGAGAATATTGAAGTTGTTGAGGATTTCATTTTACTTGGATCCACAATCAACGCCCATGAAAGCAGCATCAAGAAATCAAACGACAGGACTTTGGGGCAACGCAGCATTATAGTCAGAAGCACCGCGCCATCCCTCTGCAGCAAAGATCAGAAAAACTAAGTCAAACAGTCACACATCAATTCTGAAACCTTACGCATCAAATGAAAAGATAAAGAACTCAGCCAAGCACAAATGGAATAAGAAGCTGACCAAGGACAGACAGCGAGGAGACATACATGCAGAGGTCCCCTATTAGCTACTGCAGCACGGATCCGCCATCTTGGACTCCTGTTGGAGATCAGCGAACAAGGGGTATGAGAAAGCAGCTTCACGGAGCTTCCAGCAGGAGACAGAACAACCGGTAACCAGCAATATAGGCTTTCCCAGCCCCCACCCTTCTTCACCCCCACTTAGCCTGCTCTGCTTCCTGCAGCCACAGTCTCTTGGCTGAGAAGCACTCCAGTGTCGCTTGGATTCCACCAGCCTGCACTGGCCGGCTCCCTGAGTGCCTTTTGTTGGCTGCTGGTGTTGCTTTTTTCTGCTTCTTTAGATTTCTTCCTTACCTCTCACCACCTCCCCCTGCTTTCTCTCAAATACCTGGCTCCATGCTCCATCTTTGCTTCTTCCTGAAAGGCTGCAAAACACTACTTTACTGTGAAACTACTTCCTGGCCCCGTGCCGCCACGCTGGTAGGATCCCTGGGGCTTTTTTGTTTGTTTGTTTGTTTGCTCTAATTTGTTCTGTTTTGATTTGTTTGTTTGTTTTCTTTCTCTTTTCTCGGCTTGGGAGCCCCTTCTAGCCGGGCAGTACCACGCAGCTTGGGAGCTACTCCCTTACACTTCACTGACGCACAGGGACATCCCTGGGAGCATTTCTTTTTTCTTGTTTGTTTTTGGTTTGTTTTTTTGTTTTTTTTTTTGTTACTTTGTTTTGTTTTCTTCTCTCTCTTACTGCCTTTTTGTCTTTCTTCATTTCTAGTTTCTTGATTTATTCATTTTTTTCCTTTACCCTTTTTCTTTTTTTCTTATTTTTGTTTTTCCTCATTTCTCAGTCTTTCATCTCTCCACTCCAATAGCAAGCTCCATTAGCACTCTTTTTTGTTTATGTGTATGTTTTTGGCTCCTGTTCCTCTCTCCTCTCTCTCATCTTTCCCATACCAATCTTAGCTCTACACATCACAATCTACCCCCTCCTTCCTGCCTGCCTGCACCATGCGCTGAACGTCACACTCCCAAGCAGCACAGGCACGGCCTACTGGAACCTGCCCTGCACTGACTCCCGGTCCACACTGTCAGCCTTGGTACGTGCCACAAAGAACCCATTCCAGCAACTCGCCTTCAGCTGGACCTGCCCTGCTGTACCATACCTGACTGACTGACCCTGCCCATTGGAGAAGGACGTGAAAAGTATCTTGCCCACAGACGAGCAAACAACAAAGAACACACAACCCACCTGCTCAGACATAACCAAATAAAACAAAAAAGCAGGACGAAACAAACAAATCTACAATCAATAAATGAGGAAAATCACCACTGAATGCCCCAAAGACAGCAGAAAATCTCAAAACATTTACAAAAACAGGACAGGATGGCTCCAGTAGGCATCTAAAACAAAACACCAGATGACCTTTCAGTAGAAGAAAAGGCACTAGACCTAACTGATAGGGAATTCAAATCTCTAATATTCAGAATTATCCAAGAGTTGAAGCAAAAAGCAGGCAAAAATGAGGAGAAAATAGACAAATTCATGGAAAAGGCAGACAAATTCAGGAAAAATACAGACAAAAAATTCAAAGAATTCAAGAAAATAATACAGGAACAAAATGCTAAAATAAATTCACAGCTAGAAATCATACAAAAACAACAATTAGAAATCCAACATAAACAACAAGATTTCAGAAATCGACAGTGTCATAGAAGGGCTGAGGAGCAGGTTTGAAATGATGGAAGACAGGATCAGTGAAATTGAAGACAAGCACTTGGACGCAACTCTGAGGAAAAATCAGAAAAAAGAACGAAGAAAAATGAAGAAACCCTGAGAATTATGTGGGATACAATCAAGAGCAAAAATCTGCAAGTGATCGGAGTTCCAGAGCAGGGGGAGAAAACGGAAAACACAGAGAGGATCATTGAAGAATTGCTGACAGAAAACTTCCTCAATATCATGAAAGATGAAAAGCTGACCATCCAAGAAGCTCAACGAACCCCATATAGGATAGACCCCAAAAGAAAATCACCAAGGCATATCATA